TCCAGCTCACTCGATTGGTATTCACCCAACTTCACAAATTGACGCCTCTGTGTCAAATAACTTCTAATCCAATTCAAAACCAATTCCCTGATCCCATATTTTTTCTATATTTTCCATTAATAACTCATGATTGATTGTGTCAAATGCTTTTTTTTAGGTCAATAAATATTCCCATCGTGTATTTCCTCTCATCCATAGCACTTGTTATGTCCTCCATTAGCTCAGTAATGGCCAGGGATGTCGATCGGTTCGACCTAAAACCATTTTGGCAATCAGAGAGGATTTTATGTCTATCAATAAATGTGTCTAATCTGTTATTAAATAGTTTTTCCAAGATTTTTGAAAACTGTGACAACAGAGAAACCGGTCTATAATTTGTGAAGTTGTGCTTATCTCCAGATTTATACAATGGAATAACCTTTGCTATTTTCATATTATTGGGGAACTGACCAAGTCGAAATGACTGGTCATGTTCCTCTTGATTCTCCCAGAGTGACAGAAACAAATATGCATGCTTTGCTTGTGTGGTGAAAAACTGGGACAACACTGACCAACAACACAAAATGAAACTCACTGAGCCAAACATACAAGTAGACTAGTAACAAATCTGGACTCCACTTTGAATTAGTGCCAGCAGGAAGAGTGACCTGGGTGTTGAGCACAGATGGTGTGCACACTGAGCCAGTGAGCTGCTGCCCTCTCTTACAGCTGGTCCAGAAGCATCACATTCTCTGGGACTCTGGGATGTGCACTGTATTTCACAAAGGCAAGTGTGTCCTCCTCGCCCCACACAAGGAAAGACCCTCAGAACATACAGGCTGAAAACAGGAAATGTTCTTACCTGGTCGCTCTGGAATCACCACATCCACCTCAAACTCTTGTGAGCCACTCTGTCGGTCTGAGGTCTGGACTCATGGACCTGCTGCAGCAGACACTGCACATCATCCCCAGATGTATCCTGTGAAGAAAACAAAGGTCCTGTGTGAATGTGCACTTTGAATATAGCAGCTTCTGCGTTTGTCAATTAAAAGTCTGACTATTTTGATGTACACTCTTCAGTTGCATTCATCTGGTCACATCGGGTCACAGGGTCAGTCTCTGCATTAATGCCTGTGGACATCAGTGACAGCCTTAACAGATGTTATTTAGACCCACAGTGACCCAGTTTGGCTCCATTCACGTGTTTAGCACTGGGGCAGTAGAACACTGATAAAATACTGGTTTCTGGACATAGTCTGTTAAAAGAAACAATGGACCTCGTGTACAAACAGTGCATACACAAATCTGGGCTTTATCAGTATTTTCTTACTTGAATTTGTTCATATTCTCCAAACAAATTTAGAACTCCCAGACATACGAATGATTCTGATTTAGCCCCCAGCAGTAGGATGACATATGGGGCCTTGTTGGGAGATGCTGCAGCCCCTGCCTTCAGGGAACCAGGTTGGTTTGACCAGCAGGTGGCGATGCTGCACCATTTTTACAGTAACTCCACATTGACGTGCTGCAGAGGAATACTGTGACGGGAAGTATAGATTTATTATCAGTTATACTGTGTATTCATTATTTATATGAATATATCCAGTACAGCTATGCTACCACTTTCCTCTGTGGAGTCTGGTTTCAGAGACTGGAGATCAAATTTTATAATATGGCACCATAAATCAGAGCTGTTAAAAAATGTTGCACACTTTTAGCTGCTAATTTGATTTTTAAAATATCCACAAAAGCCTTAATCCAGTTTTGTCTGGACGGGAAGCAGAGACGTGTGCAGAAGAAGAAGAGGAGGTGGAGAGTCTGTAAATGGACAGACAAAGAAGAAGATGCACCAGTGTGAGTGGTGTGTTTTAGAGTCTGATGATGTTAGTGACGTCAAATCAACCGGAGCAGCTGGTGTCCACAACTCTTCATCTCCATCACTCTGCTCCCTTCATCTCCACATCAGGAGGGGCTGATTCCTTGGCTCAGAGGGGCCCCCACATCCAGCAGCACTGGGTGAGGCAGAAATGCTGGGGTGAAAACGAGACCCAGAAAATGATAGATATAATGACAAACATTTGCTCCTGCATCAGCATATGAAACTACATATTTAAAAGTGAACAATGAAAAAACCACATGAATCAACATCAAATAAATGATTAATTCAGAAATAAGAAAACTAAGAGCAAAAACAGCAAACACCAGATATCCTCACAAACCAAACGCCACAGAGGAAACAGTGGAAATAAAGAAAAGTTTCTCAAACAAACAAGAAAACTACACAAAGTTAAAATAGCAACAACATCACAGTAGGTTTTATATCTTGTGAAATCTGTGATCAGACAGTTTGATGTCAGATGCATTATCACTGGACATTTTCTAGCAGCTGATGTGTTATCACACCACAGTAACTGTGGGGAAGTTTCATTTTGGAAGATTTGAGCCTTCTCCAGCAGACAACGATTTGCCTGATAATGTGGCCAGAAGTATGTGGACACATCATTCACTTACAATGTTTGGCCAAATGTTTACTGTGTATCACAGAAGTAGAAAATAACTAAGTACATTTACTTCATTATTTGAGCATTTCCATTTTCTGCTACTTCATACTTGGACTACATCTCCGAGACAAAATACAGTAGAATCATCAGACTCTGTAAAGTGCATCACATTATAAGTAAATATGTAAAATACTTTTAGTAACATTTTGAATGCAGGACATTTACTTGTAACAGAGTATTTTTACACTGTGGTGTTTCTACTTTTACTTTAGTAAAGGATGTGAGTACTTCTTCCATCACAGGTGTATTACAGTGAACCTTGTGGCCAGAAGTATGCAGACAGCAGGATGATCTCCCCTCCCACCTGAAGCCAGTGAGTGCACCCTGTGGTACCTGTGGCCACAGCTTCACATCAGCAGCTCCTGCACTTGAGCTCCTCTCCTTCCCTCCTCCTTTCATGTCTCAGCTCCTCCATTTTTCCCTCCATCATCCTAATGTGCTCTTGTTTTGTCTCAGTGGTTCAGCTGCAGCTGCTCACCTCCTCTCCTCCTTTTCATGTGCCTCTCCACCCATTTCTACTTTTCTCTTTCATATCTGACTCATGGCAGCAGACACAGGGTTTTCTCTCTCCTCTCAGAGAAGTTTAATCTGTTGCTAACCCTAACACCTAACCCTTCTCATGTGCTGCAGCACAACCCCCCCAGTGAGGGCCAGAGTGAGTGAGTAGAGTGTTAATGCAGTGTCCATGGGTTAGTCTGAGACCTCAGTGTCAGGCTGTCTGCTCGCTGCTGCTGACATCACTGTTGACACCAACAGCTGTGTTAAGGTGGTCAGAAGGTGTGAGATTAGATTCTAGGTCTGCTAACTCCTGACTCCAGTTGGCACGACGTCATTAGCCTGCACTGTCACAGTTTTAATGATGTGTTCAACATGGAGGAGAACATCTGTGTATCAGTTGACGTAGAGAAGAGCTGAGAGATTTCCATGGTGCTAACAAACACCTGAGTTTGGTAAAGGTAACATTTCATCCAGAGACACAGTCCCCAACCTGCTCTTAAAGGGTTAATCCACTCAGAAATGTTATGTACCATCCTGTGTTTGTCTAAAAGGTAAAGTAAAGCAGGTGGAGTACAGTCGAGGAGAAAGTGACGGCCGCTCACAGCATCTGTGTTTACAGCTAACAGAACAGGTACAGGTGAGTGTCAAGGTGTGGCACAGGCTCTCAGGTTACCTGTGTGTGTTTGGATCAAACACTTGCTGCTTGTTGTGCGTTTTCATCGGCTCATTGCTTCCAACAACAACAGCCCATCACCCCAGAGGAGGACTGGTCCCTGGCCTGAAAGTCAGAAAACAGACTTTAGTCCTGCTGCTTCCTGTTCGACAGAAGGTCCACTGACTTCTGAAGTCTGGACCCTAAGACAGACCCTGGCCATGAGATTTGTGTTTATGGATGTCATGGTCACATCCTTTGGCATCTCCATCTGCTATTCTGGTTCACGTAGGTGCAGTGGTTAAGCTCTTCTTCTGTGGTTCCATAGGGTTTTGCTGCCCCCATCCAGCCAACATGTTTACTAACAGTCAGCTGATGCCAGAGCTGATTATCAGATCCAATCTTCAGAAGCACATCTTCACAAACATCCTGACAGAAACATGGAGATGATGAGAGGATCAGTTAATTATGCTCATACTCAGTGACCTGAAATCATCTGGTTCCCGTCTCGTTTTCAGCCTGTGAACCAGGACTGAACCAGAAGATCAGTGAACTAGTATTTCATGAGTTTTCTAGAAATAATACTGGTAAATGTCTGTACCACGTTACAGTGATTAAATCAGATGAAAGTAAACATGCTGACTTAACTTTAGTGAACACTTGGTCCAAACTATCTGGTCCCGACACAGGATATAACAGGAGATTTTAGTTGCAGGGTCACAAATTCAGAGGAGGCCTCACACCTCGGTGTCGTCTTTGACTCAGGACTGAATTTTAAATCAGCTGTTTGCCTCTCAGAGTGACTAAGAGGCTAATACACTGTGCTATACCCATCAGTCTGGACCAGGACAACGCTCCCCTCTGTGGTCGGCAGAAGTCCAGAACTATGCCGCCTGACCTAACCCCAACCCTGTAGACCAGGACCACAAGGAGAGAACCCACCACACCCGTTTCCTTACATTGGTTTCCTGTCAATTTCTGCATTGATTTTTAGATTCTTTACTAGTTTTAAGATACTTCATGAGCTCTCACCAGCCATTTTATCTGATATGTGGATGAACCAGGACATCTGGCAAATCCTCTGACGCTTTGAGTCTTTCAGCTATTCCAAAGTCCAGGCAGTGGTGCCTGCAGAAAATGTTGGGGAGGGGTGTAGAGAATCTTGGGGTGGCACCCTAAAAAAGACTACATAGCATAGAGGAATTTCAGCAAAATTAATAGAGCACATGGGCACTGCACTGAATCAGCAGCAGTACTACTGTAGATCCTGCACAGGTAATGATGAGGAGCAGTCATATGATCACAGGTGTGTGTAGCACCAAGCTAGCAGCGTGTCAGACTGGAGCCATG